CCGGTAGGGAGGAATAAGAAAAGAAAAGAGAGGAAGAGAAGGAAAAGAAAGAAAGGAGCCGGGAGGAGAGAAAAGAGAGAAAAAGAGAGAAAAAGAAAAGAAAAGAGAGAAAAGAGGAGAGAAAAAGAAAAGAAAAAAAATAAATAGAAATTAGAGGAAGATTAGGGAAGTTTAGAAAATTTAAAATAATTAGAATTTAATTATGGATTAATTATAGTCGTAGAATTGCAAAATTTAATATAAATTATGGATTATTCTTGGCAATTTCTATAAGAAATCAATTCGCGGTAATAATTTAGATGTAGTTAATTACTAAACAAATAGATGAATTCTTATAGATTATTATAGATTATTTTTGGGTAATCCCTATAAGTAATCGATTCACGGTAGAAATTCGGATTTAATTACTAGAGATTTTAGCCGTGTGTTACATTTAATCATTCAGTCTTAGACTAAATTAAATCGTATAATATTTCTAGGGTTTCGTCCGATATTTAGCTCGCGATAGAAATTCCTAACCTATTATATGGATATAATGCTCGGGTAAATTAAATTAAAAACTTATGACAACAAAATATTTATACCCGCAAAATAGTTTAAATCGAAATTGGGTTTGCCGTAGTTCGCGGATAGTAAAGTTAATAAAAAGGAATCGACTTTCGCATTCGACTGTCATTTGGATTTATTTGGATTCTTATTTGAATTCTAACCGAATTCAAATCAATTTTCGCACGTAACTATAGAGCCTGAGGGAGTTGCGGATCCAAGCGAAGGCCAAGACCCGCAAGACTTTGAGCAAGGCAAGTCATCACTATTCCTTGAACATGTTGATCCCAATTGCGAAATTGTTTTGTTTACAAATAAAATTGCATGCAATGATGAACATCCTACTTGTGATTATGCCATGCCTTGATTATTGATTACCCTTAGATCTTTGTAACCATGTTTACGTATGAGTCCCTAGTCAACTATGACAATTGCTTAGAAATGCTATTCTAGAATCATGCATACTCATATTTATCAAATGCTATATGTTTGGGCAATTACCTTTGGGAAGGTAATGGAGATGCGGCATGTGGAGACATGAGCGCCACATTGCCATGATGTTGATGACATGATTTGTGAAAGGAGAAATAAAATTACACAACTGTTTTCGACTGGGGCGGACGGAGGATTTGGGTGGTATCTGGAAAAGGCTAGTACCGTCCCCGGTCAATTAAGGACCGAGCCATGAAGTTAAGCATGAAACGACCCTCGTACAACCGCACTTCTCGTATGGGTATAGACCTAGCGGAGTAGATAGCCGAGCGGAAGCAGTATCCCTGCATAGATGGTTCACCCCTGAGTGAGGCAGGTGCGCTACGGTGGGACAGCCATTGAGGTAGGGCCGAGAGGCGTGCCCTACATCGGTGTCGCCATTGGTAGGACTGCCATGAGTGTGTGAGAGAGAGAACTTAACTTGAACCATAATTTAATATGTGTGTGAGACTTCTCTTTCCCGGGAGCGCCAGAACTCCTCTCACTGCTAGAAACATGGACGCCTAGAGTGCATGAGGATTTAAGTTCATGGAGCGGGTACTGCCAATGCGAGGTTATCGAAAAGCTTTGCCGTGACGCGTCTCATGTGTTGGGACGAGGCTCATGTGTTGGGCAGTCGTGGAGTGCGGGTAAAGTGTACATCCACTGCAGTGTGAGTAAACCAAATCTATTCGAATAGCCGTGCTCGCAGTTATTGAGCACCGGGACATGTATTGCACTTGGCTAGACTCTAAATTCTTAACCTGTGTGGGATGGGATATTGCATGATGATTTTTATGCTGCTGGAGCCACTTCCTGAGAGGAGGGAAGGTGGACATCCTCAGAAAACCATGACGACTCAATGGCGGGAAGCTATCCTTGAAATCACAATGGATGGTGGACAGAACCGTCGTTGTTTAATGTGAACACTGGTATTAAAACTTGATCAGTCTATGCTAGGTCTTAGGTTTGTGAAAAGAATTACAAAACTGGCTTAGCGCAAAAGAGCCATAGCCATCCTTTGGAATACCCCTTTCATATGCATTGTTGCTGTGGTGGCTTGCTGAGTACGGTTGGTACTCACCCTTGCAAATATAAAATTAATCAGAAGCGGGAGATGAAGCTTCGGAGGATCCCTATGCCTACTACCAGGAGGGAGATGAAGACGATGGCGCTCAGTAGGTGTTAGTACGGTCGTTGCCTGTGGCAATGGCATGCCGCTGCCTGAATTCCGCTGCCTTATCTATTTCTGCTTTTGGATGTATTCCGGACCGCTCGGTCCGATGATTTAAGACAATGCCTGCGGGCTTCTGATGTAATAATTAGCACTAGACTCTCGTGTATGTACTTTTGGTATTTCAGCTATGAACTCGTGTGTACCAGACTACTTGATCCAGGGAAATGGTACTGTTTACACGAATGATTCCTGTTATAAAAACGGGGGTCCACAGAGCTGGTATCAGAGCCATACGACTGTAGGAAAAGACCAAAAGGCGCTCCACCCCTTTTCTAAGTTGGCCAAGGGAGAAATTCCCATTTAGTAATACTTTCAAAAATAAAAACGCTATGTTTACAAAACTCGGAACGATTTTCATCTTACTCTTAACTATTTTCTTCACAAAACAAGTTTTACTCTTAGCTGACTTTGGGTTTTTCTTAAAGATTAGAAGGCAGATCAGGATTCACCCGCCACCTGGGAGATGGGCGTACCCCGCTCAGAGGGATACGTCATTGAGCTACACCGGCTGATGAGGCGTCTGCGATACCCCAGATTTCCGATTTACCGAGTGAGACAGTGTGGATCTGTTTAGGAGGCTCGGGTCGAGGTTCACACACGAGTTTCGTCAGAGTTAGACTACAGCTTTCCGACACGCCACCGTCGCGACTTGCCGGAGACCGCGATGCAGGATGCAGCCCGGGAGGCCTTCCTCCGACTTAGCTCTATCCACCGAGCTGAGTTGGCGAGTACTGAGTTTGCTCACCACCCATTTCGAGAGGAGGGCAACTCCGTCTGCACAGTTCAGGACACACCTTGCTGCTACAACCCGATAGTGACCCGACTGTCACGATGGGCTGAGGCTGCGGACGACTTCTACGAGGAGGCCCTATTGGAGATCGACGATCAGTAGAGACGTGTAGGGGAGTTAGAGACTGAGGTGACCGACCTCACAGCGCAGCAGCTTCAGTTGGAGGAGGAGCACCAGGCCTGGGGCAGTGAGATAGACTCACTGAAGGCACAGCTCCAGGTCCACGGCGACCAGTTCCAGCAGTTATCTGACCAGTACAACGATCGCCGCGGGATGATGGATACTCTTGAGGAGTAGCTAAGAGAGAGTCAGGAGCACGTCAGCCAGCTGGAGGAGCAGCTTCGAGCAGCCACGATCAGCACCACAGGGGCTTCTACTTCCACAGCAGTAGGGCGTGACCGCTACTTCTTCCTCACCCCGCCGTACCCACCAACGTTCCACGCTCTTCTGGGTGAGGCTAGTATGCTAGCTACCGAGTCAGCACCTTACCTAGTGGACCCGACAGTGACACAGCCACCTGCCCCGGAGATTGTGCGCACTCCACTGATCCCTACACCTTCTCCGCAGTTGGGTTCCAGTTTGGAGACTCCGATCCAGGTCGACTCCGAGACAGAGGGGACCGACACCGAGCCAGAGATCGAGCCAGACATCACTGATCCTTTAGAGGATGAGACCCCTGTTCCCCGCATCACCTTCCTTGGAGGTCCTCGCACCCTCAGCACTGCTCGCAAGAGCACACGACCTCCGGGCAAGAGGCCCAAGCCAGATCCAGAGGCCACTACTTCTGAGCCGTGGGGACTCAGGTTTGCGCGTGCCAGCGACCACCCTCTACCTGCCCCAGGATCCTGCGGATGGCTGGAGGACTAGATTGACAGACTCCTTGCAGCTTCGATCTCGTATCAGATGGTTTTTGGATAGCATGCGAGACACACCCCCCTCTTACCTAGATTGACGAGTAGATTGATGATTAGTTTGATGTATCTTTTGCATGAACCTTATTTGGACTGCGTATGTATGCAGTCGATTGCATCATGATTTATGTACCATTTGTGAAACTCTGTGATGTTATTTATGATATCTATTGTTGTTGTGTTATAAATGAGTTTATTCCACCATGCTTGCAAAACAAAGTTCACACCAAAATAACCCCCTTAATGGGATAGAACCATAAGAGCTAGTTAGAAAATTAGGATACTTATTCCATCAACCTACACAGATGGCAAGCCGACGTCGGGCGTCAACCAGCAATGAAGAAACTGAGACACCTGACCTAACCACCCTGGCCGGAGTTATGGTCACCCAAACCCAACTTCTGCAAGCCATTGCAAATAACCAAGGCAACCGCGGTGGATCAAGCTTTGGAGAGTTTGTGAGGACCAAGCCACCCACATTTGCCACAGCTGAAGAACCTATGGATGCTGAAGATTGGTTAAGGATCATTGAGAAGAAGCTAACTCTTGTTCGAGTACGTGAGGCCGATAAAGTGATCTTTGTGGCAAACCAATTGGAAGGACCAGCCGGAGACTGGTGGGACACATACAAAGGAGCCTGAGAAGAAGATGCTGGAGAACCAAGCTGGGAGGAATTTACCACAGGCCGGTTACCATTCAGAACCGCGCTCCTGCACCGAATCAGGCCGCCACTGGATCAGTAAGGCCAGGAAGCTGTTTCAACTGTGGAGAGTACGGGCATTTCGCCAACAAATGCCCCCATCCAAACAAGACACCTATTTGCACCGGAGCTAATGCAACGACTATTCACGGAACTACTACCCCTGCTGCTGGACGAGGTCTATTCAGGACTCCATAGACTAACAGGACCGCTACCGGATTTGGACGCGGACAAGTGAACCACGTTCGAGCTGAAGAGGCCCAGGAGGACCAAGGCGTACTGATGGGTATGTTTTCACTCAACTTCACTCCAGTTAAAGTTCTCTTCGATTCAGGAGCATCGCATTCATTTATATCTCTGAAAGCAAGTCAACAACACAATTTAACCAGAGTTAAACTAAGGCAACCAATGTTAGTACATTCACCTGGGGGTGAAATAGCCGTGGACACAGCTTGCATTGACGTACCTATTCGCCTTAGGGATGTGGTGTTTCCCTCCAACCTTATGGTTTTGATACCACAAACTCTTGATGTCATTTTGAGAATGGATTGGTTAGCAAAGCATAGAGGAGTAATTGACTGTAGACGTAGAGAAGTTACCCTGACCACACCCTGGGGATCGGATATGAGAGCAACCATGGATCAAGATCCTAGGCTAACCGAACGTGCCTAGGATCGTACGCTGGAAGGTATTTCCTGCGGTTATCAGTCCAAACGGCATTTTAACGTAGCAGAATACACCGAGCGGCATGATAAATGCTGTCTTCTCCTCATCCTCTTTTACCATGCTGATTTGGTGGTAGCTAGAGTAAGCGTCAAGGAAGCTTAATAGCTCACAACCAGCTGTTGAGTCCACTAGTTGGTCTATTCGAGGGAGGAAGTGATCCTTGGGGCACGCCTTGTTGAGGTCGGTGAAGTCGACGCACATCCTCCACTTCCCGTTGGCCTTCCGCACCATGACTAGGTTGGCTAGCCACTCTGGATGGAGTATCTCTCTGATGAAACCAGCATTGAGAAGCTTGTCGAGCTCTTCTCGTATGGCCTGTTTCCGATCTGGTGCAAATCTCCGCAGTTTTTGTTTTACTGGCTTGGCGTTGGGTCGCACCATGATTTTGTGCTCAATCACCTCCCTGGGGACCCCCGGCATGTCGGACGGTTGCCAAGAAAATACGTCCGCATTGTCGCGGAGGAAGGTGATGAGCGCGAGTTCCTATTTCTCGTTCAGTGATGCCCCGATCTTGACTGTCTTGTCGGGGTTGGCACTGGAGAGTGGAACAATTTTGATTGCGCCATCTGGTTTCGGCGTCTTAGTTGTTTTGCTCACTTTCTTGGGTGGCTCGGCTGTGGCCGGTGGGCTGGGCGTGTGCTCGACCATGTCGAGGTTCCGCTTGTCGCATTGGACCGCCAGCTTTGTGTTCCCTTGAATAGTGATTGTTCCCTTCGGCCCGGGCATCTTGAGTACCTGATACGCGTAGTGAGATGCGGCCATGAACTTCGCGAGTGCGGTTCTTCCGATGATGGCATTGTATGCTGTGTCAAACTCAGCAACATCAAATGTTATCTGCTCTGTTCGGAAGTTGCTCGCTTGGCTGAAAGTCACAGGAAGCGTGATCTTGCCCAATGGTTTGGACGAAGACTGGGGAGTGATTCCATGAAAAGGTTGATCGGTTGGTGTCAACTCGCTTCGAGGAATCCCCATTGCGTCCAAGGTGCTGGCGAAGAGAAAGTTGATGGAACTGCCGCCATCGATGAGGACTCGCGCTACCTTGATATTCCGAATAGTGGGTTCGACCACGATCGGATATCGTCCTGGGATAACAGCAGCCTTGGGGTGGTCCTCATCTGAGAACTCGATCTTCTGTTCAGACCACTTCATCTTGGGTGTAACCCCTTGCCATGTCGAACAAACCTCGCGCTCCACTTTTTTGTATTCTCGCTTTGAAGAGTACGCTGTGGAACCTCCGAAGATGTGCGAGACATGAAGATCGAAATCTGGGTACGCCGAGTCCGAGTCCTGAGTGGTTGCCTCTGCGGCCTTCTCGACTACACGTGCTCGTTTGCCCTTCTCCAAAGCTAGTTGCTTTTCTAGCGACTTTTTGAAGATGAGGCACTCCTCCGGAGAATGTCTGTCTGACTTGTGTATGGGGCATCATATTCTCTTCGTATCACTGCCTTGTGGGTCTGGGTGTTTGGGAGGGTGCTCGTATTCAGACGCGAGGACTTCCGCTTGAGCTTTCCTTTTCCTACTCTTGCCGCTTTTCTTCTTGCTTGGCTCAGGTGCGTCCTTGGCTGGCTTCTTCTCTCCCCCCGCCTTTGGCTTGTCGTTCTTGCGTCTCAGTGCGTCGTCCACATGAGCGCATCAATCGACGACCTCGAACAACCTTCGAGTAGTTGTGATTCGCCTTGTTGCCAACTCCTGGGTAGTGTAGCGATCTCTGACACCGGTTTTGAAAGCGCGAATCACAAAGGCGTCGGTAATATCAGGGATCGTATTTCTGCACTCATTAAAGAGCCGAACGTAGTCCCTCAAAGATTTCCCCGGATTCTGTGTTAACGCGTGTAAATCGTCTTCGATCGCATGGCGCTTGTAAGTTCCTTGGAAGTTAGCGACGAATTGCTGCCACAAATTTGCCCATGAAGAAATCGAGTAGGGCGGGAGGTGCATCAGCCACGAACGCGCAAAACCTTTCAACGCCATTGGCAAATAGTTTGCTAACGCGTTGTCGTCTGCTCCAGCAGCGTATAGTACCGTGGAGTAGACCTGGAGGAATTCTTTTGGGTCAGTACTCCCATCGTACTTCTCTATTGCCTCGGGTCAGAATTTCTCGGGCCACCGGACATCACATAGAGAACGGTTGAAAGCTCTACACCCGGCGCTAGGGGCGGTGGGTTGTCGGCGATCGTGTGTCCTCCGTGGATGTCTATCGGATGACGAGGATGAAGATGATGACGATGATGACGATGGTTCACTCGGCTCCGGTGTGCGATTCCGAGGGCGACGTTCAGGTTCTCGAGAATTCTATCGTCGTCCACCATTGTTGTCCTGGCACCGATCCCCATTATAATCACCGTCATGTTGACGTCCTCGACCAGCATCGTCCGGTGTCCACTGTTCGCGATCGTCGCGGTCGTGGTGGATGTGACGATTATGGTGGTGTTGGTCTTCGTTCGAGCGGCCTCCTCGCTCTTCGTTCTTATGACGACGTGAAGAGACACAATGTTGGGAACGATTCTCGTTATCTCGCGCGCGTTGTGCTTCTCGGCGGCCATTCAGATGGTCGCGGAGATCGCCGGTGCCGCGAGGTGGAGGGGTAGCTCGTCTAGGCGACGTCCGTTGCTCCGGTGGTTCGCCGTCGGCACCGCCAACCGTCAGATGTTCTGGTTGTGCTCTGGTAGCGACCTCCTCGAACGCGTTACTGAGATTGGCTACTGATTCCCGTAGTCGTTCTGTCCATCATGGGAGATCATCGTTAAGTACGGGGTCATAGGGAGCTTCTCTCAGTATTGCGTTGACGGTGCCGAGGTGTTGGGCCGGCGTGACCGCTTGGTTCTCCGCATCTGCGTTAGCGTGCGCAGACGTGCTAGTCCCACCGATGGTAAACACGTCGCGTCGTTTACTGGAAGATGACGAGCCATAGTCTTCGAGCAAGTGTAGGACTGATGGCTCGTGGGGATCGATGTCGATTACTCCAACGAATCGATCCGAGGTCAACGTCGCTCCTTGTTCCTTGTCTGCATCCTTAAGAGAGATTCCTGACTGCTGGACCTTAGGAAGCGATGTTTTCATGGCGCGGAGAAAGACCTTGCAGCTTGAGAAGTCATGATTCTTCGTCTTGTGAATAGGACAATAGACATCACGAGTTGGAGAAGTACGCTGGATTCCACGCTCCTTGCAAGCATGAATTTCAGCTTGTACGTTGAGAAAAACCCAGCAAGCTTGCAAGTTGTGCTTCCTGGATTTGTGGATAGGACACCAGGGCTTTGTTACCTCGGGAGTTGTCCTTGTCGGCTCACAGTTCTTGTCGGAAGGACAAGGTTTGGCCGCACTAGGAACCTTCTCGGGCTCGTATGACGTCGATGTTCTGTTCTCCGCTACGGCGGGAGGATCCTTCGACACGGGATCGTCCGGGGTTATAGCCACGGCGTTCTCGTTTCCGGTCATTGATGGACCAGCCGAGATTGGTACCGTGGTGTAAACCGGGAAGACAATTTTGCCGACTTGAGTCCACACCAGCATTGTTGAAGTAGGGACTCCTTGGATGGGGCCGGTGTTGACGCCGTTGTCGACGAAGCTTGATGTCATAGTAGTACAACCTTGAGCACCAAGTTCCCCTACCTGGCGCGCCACTGTCGACGGCGGGTACCCGTAGACCGGATATAGAGGGTATTGGGGTACGCTGGTACGAGCATCTACGTAGTACGACATCAAGGAAACAAGAGACAACGATTATACTGGTTCAGGCCCCTTAATAGGTAATAGCCCTAATCCAGTTGATATGGGATTATATGGAGAGAACCACAAATTATAAAGGGAATAATGGAACTCGATGATACCGACGAGATCGTAGTCGAGTTGATTCGACTAGATCACCCGACGACTTGGCTCCTGTAGGCTCCGGCTTCGTAGGCTGTGGTCGTTGTGTTGGCTATGAGATTCGATGCCTTAGGTCTTCCCGGGGGTCCCTATTATATCGCAGGTCATGTGGTCTCCAAGTAGGACTCGGAGACATCGTACCCTGCACGATATAGTGACGACCCAGTCCTATACGGGTAGGAACCTTTCCATTGGTGGACTTCGTGATGGATTTCCTTAGTGTATACAGAGAACGTCCGTACACGCGCAGATGTACCATATTGTCGTATAGCGTACATCCAAGGGTAGAGGGTATACCTTATCCGTAACTCTGACAAATATATGTAAATTACTTTTAGACTCTATTAAATTTACTTTTATATGTCTAAGAAGTAATTTAGTCAACTCTAAAAGTAACTTTTATATATATATGTATATATATATATATATATATATATATATATATATATATATATATATGAGATAAGAGTAACTTACATATATAATAAAAGTAATTTATAAATATAAATATTTTTTCATCGTAATATAATCACGTAAGATTTTGTTGTGAAGATTTAATTGTAACGAACACAATGGTGTAATCGGATTGTAGATCGGATAAGTAATTTGAGAGAAAACTTTATTTGAAGAGGAAAGGGACGTACATGTATATTAAAAAAAATGCATGCATGTAGTACCATGTAGTAGCTGGACTTCTCCACGTTTCTCCGTATTTAGACGTCACTAGTTAAGGCAAAATCAAGAGGCCTCTCCAAATAGATTTTACGAAAGAGAAAGTGTAACACCCTAAATATTCAGTTAAAGATCAGTAAAATTTCCAACTTTTGCATCATTCTAGGATCTTGTTGCTTGAGTTATGTGGAACTTCACCTTAAAACGGAACTATAAATAATTAAATACCAAAACCTACCGAGGAATGTAAATGAACTAATTTACAAATATCAAATAAAGCACAGAGAAATCAAACACCAATTTTTTTCTATATAATCCAATTATGATGTAATAAAAGTCCGGGAATCAAATACCAATTTAATTCGCTAATCACAAGGTCATACGTTATACACAAACACAAGCAATATATTGACGAATTATAAAAGGGGAGATAATTCAAATACAACAAATATAGTTCAATTATAATTTAAGAATTCGATTTCACTCTAGTCCAAGCAAAGGGCTAAAGGAAGATCAATAAAAAAAATCAAATTATTTATACAACTATAATCAGACTACACATTAACAAATCCATATTAAACCCTAAATATAAGTCTGATTCCCATACTTGGGCTTAAACCATCACACGTTAAAAGGAACTCCAAATGGGCCTCAAGGCTCAGCTACTTGAGCTCGGCTTGTTGCAAACTCGTTTTCTGCTGGGCTCTCGACTGGAAATCGAGCCGAATGAAATCCCTCTTCTTCCTACTTGTAACGCTTGCGAGCTTCACCGAGCCGAGCTCGACCAAGCTGGGCTAAGTTCGTGTTGCGGCTTGGCACATCCCAGCCGTCCGATCGAGCCACCCCTCCCTTACAAAACCCCACCCAGGCCACTAGGTTTCGCCTCTTCTACCTCTTCTCCCACCTGCGCCGCCGCCACTCACTCCCAAACCCTAACCCCGGAGGAGAGGGAGGAGCAGCCATGGCCGTGGGCAAGAACAAGAGGATCTCCAAGGGCAGGAAGGGCAGCAAGAAGAAGACGTAAGCTGCTTGCGCGCGGGCGGTGTGGGCGCCACACCTCTCGTCCTCTCTGAGCTGCTTGTTCTTGCTTGGGGTTTTTGGGGGATTCTGATTTGGGACTTCTTCTCTTTTTCTCTCTCCGTGTGGGTGCAGCGTCGATCCCTTTTCCAAGAAGGATTGGTACGACATCAAGGCGCCGACCGTGTTCTCCGTCCGCAACATCGGCAAGACCCTCGTCTCCAGGACCCAGGGGACCAAGGTTCGTTCGTTCGTTCCCCATTCGCGCCCGTCAACCTCAATCCGCGATCTGATCCATGCTTTCATTTTGTATCACTGTCTGTGAGTACATGTGCGGAATCTATCTGTTTGGATCTGCGTGGCTGCGTCATTCTATATCTGAGTAGGCTAAGGGATTAATGTTGGCGTTGATGTAGTTATTGTGATTGTGATGTCTTGATGCATTTTTATGTTTTGGCTAGAAGTTTGTTTCGTTAATGCAAATGTGGGAGTTCTGGCAAGATTTCTTCTGTGCTGTACTTGTTCTACTCTCCTAGATTTTTATGGCTGATACATGGAATGTTTCATTTCATTTGATGAACACTAATCATATATATAAGTTCTTGAGGTGATTGATTCTTGCTGAGATGTACTTGGAGTAACCTTTTTGCTGCCTTTAATGTTTGCTGCCTTTAATGCGTCATACATCAAATGCTTGATTTCAGTAACACTATCATGTGTTCTCACTAATTAGATATTTTAGTCTGATGTTTAAATACCCAAGATATTTCTTTGTGTAATCTTCCTAAGGTTATCTGAATTTTTTACAGCACTATGTCTGTTGCTGATTATTATTCATGAAATTATTTTCTAGATTGCATCTGAGGGTCTCAAGCATCGTGTCTTTGAAGTCTCCTTGGCGGATCTTCAGAATGACGAGGATCAGGCTTACAGGAAGGTTAGACTTCGTGCTGAGGATGTTCAGGGGAGGAATGTCCTCACGAATTTCTGGGTAAGAATGAGCATTGATTGTTCATTAATCCTTTTGTGTTGTATCTGTGATCCCTTTTGTCCTATGTAGTCTAAACCAATACATATTTTCTCTAGGGCATGAGTTTTACCACGGACAAACTTAGGTCCTTGGTCAAGAAATGGCAAACATTGATTGAAGCCCATGTGGATGTTAAGACCACAGATAACTACATGCTCCGCCTGTTTTGCATTGGTTTCACCAAGCGCCGCCCAAATCAGGTGAAGCGTACCTGTTACGCTCAGGCTAGCCAGATCCGGCAGGTAAAAGTTTTGTCATACTTTTTTGCATGTTCTGTACTAGGTAAGTTCTTGTTTTTTGAGATGAGGTATGTTCTTGTTGTTTACTTTATTTTTGTCCACTGTTTGAAGATCCGCCGGAAGATGGTTGAGATCATGGCCAACCAGGCATCAACATGTGACTTGAAAGAACTGGTTTCAAAATTCATCCCTGAAGTCATTGGAAAGGAGATCGAGAAGTCAACTTCAAGTATATTCCCTCTCCAAAATGTGTTCATCCGCAAGGTGAAGATCTTGAAGGCACCGAAGTTTGATCTTGGGAAGTTGATGGAGGTGAGGAACCTTATTCTCATGCCTAGCTAGATGCCTTTAGTGCTCCTGGTTATTCTTCTGAGAAATGTATTAGCATGGTTATTGGCTTTGGAATCTTATTAGAAAATCTATCTAGTATATTTGCTATGTGTTGGAATCAACTATGTTTACTAACTCCCCTGCTATAACCTGGCTGCCCTAAAATACTTAGTTCAGGATTTTGCTTTGACTTGAATACTAACTTTTAGTGTAAGATGTTGCAATACCGAGTTTTAACAATATATTTTAGGGTTTATGACATTATGCATTTAGATAATTTTTCCTGATAAAAAATTCCTAGGCAATTTTGTGCTCTTAGGCAGCCAATATTAGCTCAAATCTTATATTAGGGCTTGCCTTCTGTAAATAGTGCTGTACTGTAGTGTTGATTTGGAAGCAAGACTTACTCAAGTATTAGGGGGGCTAAATGACCTGGCCGGAGTTCTTTTTTTTACTGTCACAGAATGTAGCAAGTAAATTTAAACATGATATGGCGTCCAAGTACAAAACATGTTTGTTAACAGCCTCAAATAACGTTGAAGGCAGCCAACACAAATTGGCCTCAGTATGCTGCCTCTTGATGTCCTCAGTAGTGCCAGATGTTTTTTTTCCACTCCTAGTTCCTGTGTGTACGTAACTTTACTAGCCAAACACCTGTGCTTTTCTGTGGATTAAATCTAATTAATAGTGAGGTTTTTGGGACAATTTCATTCCTGTAGATGTTGTTACAGATGAAATATGATAAAATCATGGATAGTTTGGATAGTTGGTACAAAACATGATGGAGTAGGTGGGAAATAAAAATAATACTGTACTTGGTGGCACCATTGCCCTTGTTTAAAAGGAGTATAGATTCTGAGAAAATGTGGTCTTTATTGGTTTTACAGGTACACGGTGACTACAAGGAAGATGTCGGTATGAAGCTGGACAGGCCTGCTGAGACTGACGAGGCGGTGGCAGGGGAGGTTGCAGCAGCTGAGTAGAGATGGTGTTGCTAGTTGCTTTACCTTTTAGGAGATTTGGGCTGTTACTAAATTATGGATGATCAAAACTTAATGTCAGTTCCGATACCCTTTTTTGTCTGCCGAGTTGGTTTCTCTGATTAAAACCATGGAAAATTGTGAGACTGATTTCATGGCCAGCTCATTTTGAATGCAGTTGAATGATTAGTACTATATGATAGTATAATACTACTGGTTAGATCATTGCTATGCATTTGATCATGATCTGCTCAGCTTGCGCATTGGCAATGGTATACACCTGGTGAATTACATTCTGGAATGCGGTGGTTTGGACCATTTTTTTGGGCCCGTTGGAAAGCTGGGATTCGGATGGGCTGAAATTAAGATGGTGCAATAATCTCGGTACCGCGAGATGGACTGGCCTGTTGAGTTACTGTTCAAGCCAACCGTGAGGGTGACGGCGTGGATAGCTTTCGGTCGCTCGTTCGTGCATTGCTTTCTCCACCTGTTCTTGCGGAGTCCCTCATCTTTCTCCTCCGAACACTAAAGCAACCGTTGGTCACGGAGGCGAATCGAGATCTGCATCGGCTCCTGCTTGTCCTGAGCGGCGTGCAAGCGGTAGACCATGCGCTCGACGTCGATGGCTCATTGGGCAGGAGGGTTGCCAGGCACATACACTCCATCAAAAAAAAAAAAAAAACTCAACCTATAACAGAATGTGACCCCTCCTAGAATAATGAACAATCCCCTTCTAGGTTAAATTTTTTTAGACGGAGGGAGTAGGGGAGAAGCACTTAGATCGAATATTAGCGCATTGGAGGTGGAGAAAAAACGAGAGGCACAGTCGCAGCAAGCATCGGCGCGGCGTCGATTCCACCGACAGTGCATCAGCCTCTCCAGCGCGCGTCTGCTGCTCTGGTGAGTTCTCGTGCCGAATAGGGCCGGAGATTCACGTCCCATCCGGCATCCAAGGAGGCGCCATTGCCAAAATTGGTGGAGAGGGGGACTTGAACTCATAGCTATATTAAGCCATCTTGTGGATCCGGCCATGGCATCCAAAGGCGTGAAACGGAAGCTTCATCTCTAGCACTCCACCACCGAGCCCTTGATATCCTCTCCACAGTTGCCATTTACTTCGGCAAAACGGCGAGAGGTGGCTTTAGATCTGAAATCCTCTCAGGGTTCATCCAAGTCTCTGCAATCCGACGCCAGCTACACTGCCACAGCTGAAGACGACATCCAGGCCGTAGCGCGAGCACTCATCATCATCGCTGCAAAGTTCCATGAAGCTATCTTGCAGCTGGTCCGCCGCCTCACTCCGGCCAGAGTTGCATCTTCACTCGATTGGGACTTGCTCGACTCGTAGCACCAAGGGCAGTAGTAATGCAAACTACCCATTTGAAGAACCTAAAACTGCCACATAGACTAAAGATACTGTGTCCAAATTTTGGTTCCCCACAGTGCAAATGGCCTCATGGGTGACTTCGATTTTTCGTTTTAGCTCCTACCACTTTTGATTTTAGCCCTCATATTTTTCTCAATTTAGAAAGAAGTACAAATTTTACAATGAACACCTTACAGTGGAGGAAATAATACAAATCTCAACCCCACCCAGGCACCCACCACCACTGCACAATCCTCTCCATTTTCTCCACCCACCAACCTTGGCGAGTTTACCAGCGATGCCGCTGCCTCCGTCCTCTCCTCACCTCGGCGACGAACTCTGCCGCTGGCGGCCTCTCCCCACTCCCCCCACCTCGGCGACAAACTCCGCCACCGCGGGCCTCTCTCCTATCCCTATCGGGGCCTCTCCACTCCCGGACGCCGCTCAAGCCCACTCGCACGGGGACGCGGCGGTGGTTGAGGAAGCCGAGGCGGTGGTGGACCCACCGGCGAATCGACGACGACGAGGTCGGTGGAGCCAAGCAGAGGGATGACGTATAGGGGAATAATCGGGAAAATTGAGAGTAGTAGCACGCGACATGGGAGAGGGGACCACTCACAGTTTCTTTTTGGGCCTGAGGAAACCGGATCCTTGGTAGGAGATGCAAACCTTTGCAAAGATACGGGTCCCACCAGGCCACCACCTTTTTTTTTATCCACGTCAGAGTTTGGCCTAGATGGAAAACGATAACTCGCCACGTAGGTGCACTGTAAAGGCCCTAAGAAAGGTAAAGCACAAGTTCTAGCTTTTATTTTCAACCTACTTGCTTGCTTGACTTGGGTTGTTAGATGGCTGGCGGTCACACCCATTGGACGTAGGCGGAGCTGAAAGCATTCCTGGATAGCTGCATGGAAGAAATTGAGGGCTGCATCATCACCTCCAGCTGCCCCAAAGCTCAAGGATACATGAATCTGCAGAACAAGATGTACGAGAAGGGTCATGAACAAGCAGTAGCTGAAGAACTTATGGGACCACTGTCGCCACCGTTTCCAAACATGGACCTAGCTGGAATGAATGGCCACCGATCTGGGGCAAGATCCCTACACTGGCTCCATCCAAGTAAACTCTGAATGGTGGGAGCAGATGGAAGGGTTATGTATAGTTTAACTTTGCAATTTTTCCATTTTGCGCATGCCATGCAATTTTTCCTAAAGTTCATGACACTAGAGATTACATGTAGCAAATTTGAAAACATAGATGCTTCACACACCACCATCAGTGGATCAATAGAGCCATATAGAGTAGGAGCTTTAACAAACATAGGCCTCCAGATGAATGACATTACAGACCAGATGTAGCATAGTTCAAAACATAGGCCTCTACATGCATGATTCATACATAGGTCTATAGATGTATGATTTACTGTCATACATATATTTGGAATGTTAATCCTAAAGTATTTCGAATGACAGATTACTTGTTCCATGCCTAGCGATATGTCAAACTATATTTATGATTAATTATGCCATGTTATCAGCAATATGTTCATATGTTCATTGTCATGCGTGTAGTCTTACTGAATTTAAAACAACCTAGTATGATATGTTCATGCCATGTGTACACCATATTTGATAATTAAATTTCAATATCTTTAGAATACTTCTATATATACCAAGATAATTATGAGCTCAAAGTATAGATTACAAAATTTGACATTTGTATCTGAAAATTACATTGAAACTTGTAGCAGAATTTCATGCATATATAGGTTTATAGATATACTCTAGATGCCAGTGTATCAAAACTTTATACATAGGTGTATAGATGTATGATTAACTATCATACATATATTTGGAATGTTGATCCCAAAGTACATGACATTACAGACCACTTGTTCTATGCCTAGATATGTCAAACTACATTTATGATTAATTATGCCATGTTATTAACAATATATTATGTTCATGCCATGTGTACACCATATTTGTCACAAGTGTAGTCCTTAATTTAAAACAGCCTAATATGATCTGTTCATGCCATGTGTACACCACATTTGATAATTAAATATGTGTGTTCTTTTAAATGCTTGTGTATATACCAAGATAATTTTGAGCTGAATGTATACATCACAAACCTAGACATTTGTTTCTGAAAAACACAATGAAACTTGTAAGTGTGTAGTTCACTCAAAAAAACACAGAAAAATATGAACTTTTCATGCCATGTGTAGTTCACAACTGATATTACATCTGCAGATTGTGTGCAATGTTTTTGTACATAGAATGATAAGTATGAGCTCAATGTATGGATTACAAAAAATGATATTTTTTTCTGCAAATTAAATTGAATGTTGAATGTTTTCTGATCTGTCTAGGGTACTGAATTAAAGTTTACATGTTCTGATCTCTCTACTATGATCTTTTCATGCCATGTGTAGATGACAAGAGCACATTTAATTTGAACATGTCTGCAATGTTTCTGTATTTATCATGATAACAATGAGCAGCATGCATAGGTTGCAAAATAATCCAAGGCGATCAGCCATGACATGTTGTAATTAAAATCTGACCTGTTAGTGCCATGTGTTGAGGATTACTGATAATTGAACTTGCACATGTTTGAATTATTCTGTATTAAGCAAGAGATTTAGGAGCTGAAGTTATTGTTTGCAAAGTTGGCATGTGTTACATATCTAAAACAATATTTCCAGCAACAACGTGATCAAACCACATAACTGAATTGTGTGTTGTATTTGCAGCAAAACTTTAATTTATCTTAGATGTAATGACAACAATAAATAAAACTTATCTTTTAAGTACCAACTTGCTGCATCTACAATTTATGAACGCATATTTGTGCACTTATTTTAACTACTCAGTTGTATTGTGGTAGAAGGTGATATGCTTCCGTTTTTTTTTTCTTAACTTCAACACATGGTTGCTGCCATGTGTACACTAACTGCACTACATGTATTTTCACTTGCTACTGTTATATACTTTGTTATAACAAATGTGTGCCTATGTGTATTTGATTCCAGATTCTACTGTTTTGAACATGCTTACATGTTTACATGTGCTGCCATTTCTATATCCTGCCATCTGTACATGCATACAAGTGGTTATTTTCTGATTAAACCAACTATGTGCTGTAATTTGTGTAGCTTAGAAGAGGAGCGCGTGTATTCAGAAATGCACCGCTCAGATTCAACGCTGAGCATCATGTTGTTTACAGAGGAAGAACTGTGCTGCTAAACCGCTCCGGTGTGCCTAGGTCCAAGCCGGCACAGTCACAGGTGTCCTAGGAGGCTAAGATCCTCGATGTTGAGGACCTCATGCAGATGGCACTACTTATGCATCTCCAGAGCCTTCTTCAATGAGGAGGCGCGGTAAAGGAAAAAAGGATCGTAACCCCTGTCAGTGTCTCTAGTGGCAGCGGCAAGCATATTTGCGGTGACTCCACTGGAGATGCTCTGAATAGGTTGGCTGACCTAAGGGTGCAGTCCAATGAGAGCAAAGAAAGAAGGGAGGAACAGAGGCAAGCCAAAAGTGCTAGAGCTTGCATGGAGCTACTGAAGGCTGATGGCATCACCAAGAAGGTTCCTCTGTACCACATGGCACTGAAGCTGTTTCGTGATGGGTATTTGCATGAGTTCTTCATTGATGATTGCATCACACCAAAGGAAGGTGTGTACTTCATCCACTCGCACTACCAGGTAGAAACTATGTTTGCTCCACCACCAACATGCTCAGGTGGTGCTAATGGATTTGGAGGCTGGTTTGATGGTGGAGGTGGATTTGGGCCTAGAGGTTATGATGGTACGGTTGGAGCAGATGGTGCAGCAATGTTAAAATGTTTTAACATTTCTTAAGGCAGTGATTATCGTACTGGTGCCATGCGATCTTTGTCATGCATCTCTAATTTTCCTTGTGATGTCCGTTAAATAACTTGTTCGATTTCTTTCGAGAAACGTGATTGTTCTAGGCCTTATTAATTTGAGTGTTTAGTTTAACAATTTCGGCACCATTAATTTGAGCTATCAGTTGCACTGATTGAATAAATTATGTTGAGACGAATTTTACTTGACATGTGCTAATATTTTAAGTATTTCGTACCTCATTTGTTCTTTGTCCGTATTCCATCTTTTTCTGAAATTTTCTGTACTGTCTTATAATTTTTTCATCGTGACTAAGTTTATAGTTGAACGATAATAAAGTTAAAACCTATTAGCACCATTCATACTTGTACCTTAACCATGTTTATTTTGTCATATAATGCTATGGGAACTTGAGCACTTCGTCTGAAAGAACAAATGCTTCAAAGGATGGATACTTCAGTGAAGAGGAAGATTGCATTCTTGATATGTTGGTTGCTAGTTTGGAGGCAAAATTGCGTGGTAAGGCCGCAAGGCGGGTCCCGCAACAATTCGAGATGGAATGAATGATGGAAACAATGTCCAATGCAGCTCAGTGCCAAGCTATATTTCGAATGAGGGCTGATCAGATTCATGCTTTGTTTGGGCTACTCACTAATCGGTATAACCTTCACGGAACAATTGAGATATACCCTATGGAAGCACTTGGAATATTCCTATACAACATGGCAGGTGGCTATTCTAATCGGTCGACAAATAATAGGATGGTCCATTCACGATCTACTGTGTCAAAGTATTTCCATAGAGTGCTTAATGTTGTCTATGCAATTACAATTGACATAAATAAGCATGTAGATCCTAACTTTGCTAGAGTGGATAACCGTGTCATGCAAGATGAGGCCTTCCAGCCATTTGCTAGTGCGGCAGGTTCAGTGGATGGGACACATTCCTGTTATTGTGGCATTTGATGATTCCATTCAACACGGAATCGTCACCATGTCAAATCTAGGAATGTTCTTGTTGTTATTGGATGGGACAATCGTGTCATATTTATAGATGCGGGATAACCAGGATCTATGCACGACTAAAGGGTGCTCATAGAAGTAGTACGAGGCTATCCCTACATATTTCCAAGGTTTCCATGGGGTTCGCAACACTTTTATTTTTTTAATGAAACAAGTTAATGCCATATAGGGGTATTAACTGAATATTTTATTTGTGCAAGCAAATATCTCCTTGTGGGCTCGGGTTATGCCAGTTGGTATGGATTCCTACCTCCATACCCGCATGTTCGATACCACTTGGATGATTTTGAGGGTTCAGAAGCAACACTACCGCATGGAAAGGAAGAGACTTTTAACTACATTCACTCCTTTTTGTGTAACACAATGGAAAGAGCTTTGGAGTTATCAAGAGTTAGTGGAGAATTCTTAGAGAAATACCTTACTTTCCTGGGCAGAACGATCAGACAAATATCACACACTGTACGTTTGCTCTCCACAACTTCAAGCTTGACAGTTCAGACCCGCATTTCATGACACAAAACCTGTTATACAATGGGTACCCCAACATCCCAGAGGCTCCACCCCTATGTGTTTGGTATGACGCACCTAACAGCGAGGAAGTGATGAATACAATCCGTAAAGCCATTGCAGATGAAGTGTATAATGGATAGGTGGCAATGAGTCTGCACCTTCAAAAATAAGTAACATATCCATGAGTGTCATGGATATGTATCCTATATGTATTTGTGTGTTGCTACAAGACTCTATTCTCGTCTATGTATAATTATTTGTGTGCACGTACTAATGATTAATCATTTTGTCTTCCCTTTAATCATCTCAAATCAATTTGTCTTCCCTATGTGTTTAACTAGAAGATACTCCGCACGTTGCTGTGGAAATTAGTTGCATTAGAAGAATGTTTGCCTAGGCAACAAAGCTTGTAGTAAGTTGATTCTATGGAGGAAAACTCTCATACAAAGTAATACTTGCGTTAGGGCAACCATATCACATACAAAGAGCCATGCTGGGTCATGGTACATATGATTGAGCATAGAACCATAAGCATTAAACTTTATAGTTGAGAAGAAAAAAAAAGCTACATCATATCAAACATGGATAAATACGACAACAGAAAAGAGTGAATCCCTGGAAGGAAACATATAACTTGTAAGACTAAGGCTAGAAAGAACATGGTGAAATGTTTAGGCGTAGGCGTCTATCTCAAGAGGACTTGTATTTACATGCCTAGCAATATGAGATAGAGAGAATCCATTATATGTCACTGACTTTGTCATACGTCTACGATTAATTTGCCACTGACTTTATCACGTTCTACAATATGCTATCAACTTTTGCTTAACTTCTACGATTTACCATCGTTGTCCGGTTAGTCTCCGTTAGTACTGCACAAATTTATCAAAATGACCAAAATACCCCTAGGATAAAAACCTTCAAAATCTGGATAAGAATTCTGAAATGTTAGATTTTAAGTTTTTTTTACCAAATTTTGGATGTTTTGCAATCTTGTGTTCATAATATGATATTTTGATAATTTTATCTAAATTTTAGAAGTTTTTGTCGTAGGGGTATTTTGGTCATTTGGACAAAATTGTACAGTGCTAACGGAGGCTAACTAGACGGTGATGGTAAATCGTAGAAGTTAAACAAAAGTTGATGACATATTGTAGAACGTGACAAAGTCAGTGGTAAATTGTAGACATGTGACAAAGTCAGTGGCATATAATGGATTCTCTCGATGAGATAAACCATCTTAAAAAAATCTGATAAAAAAAGCACATGATCGAACAAAGTTCGGAAGATGTACATGTTTCTACCTTCATAGATTAGCATATAAGATATCTCCATGCCTCCATGCTAGGAATCTTGCGCTGCATGCATCACTTGCTCCATTGCAGGTACTAGCTCTTTAGTTCCATGCATGGCTATACTATTTTACCAAGTGAAGCCATGAACACGATTAGACGAAAATAACATTAGCACTGCCGTTTAAGGACTGAGGCCAAGAAATATTTTACCCCCAATTTTTTTTCCAATTTAGGCAGCCCATAACCGATGTCACGTGCTCCCTCTCTTTGTTGCTATTATGCTCTACCGCACTCTGTTCTTGGTATGCTATAACCGATCATCAGGAGGGAGGGGATGTGAGGAGTAGTAGATCAGCACAAGGTCAGCTACGATACTAGTTCTCAAGCTCGAGTTCAAGCACATGATGGTAGCGCTGAAGTTGCTGGTGCTCGAGCTCGAGGAAGGGGCAGCACGGCAGTGCTTCAGCCTTCAGCTCGGGACGGGAGTAGCAGTGTTTCCATAATTCACTTGCATAAAAATATCCACCAACTCTTGTGAAAATGATTAGTAATAATCACTAACACCAAGTTTGATGTTTTCTTTCATTTGCTTTTATGTAGGGATTGATGGTTAGATTTGGTACCTAATTACCGTCAATAGCTTTGCAAATACGTATGACGAAATAAGATCTGCAACATTAGAAATTAAAGTTTGTATCGGTGTGTTATTTATGATATTCTATCTTACTATAAAGTCAATACCTACTAACTTTTAAAACTCAACATGCAAGTATGCCACATCATCATCCACCAGCAATTATTTTAAATATTATTTTAAAATGGAGCCAACATTTTGGTTTGAACCAAGAGAATAAAACATTTGTTATGCAAAGCATAAGAGGCGACCTAGAGCTTTTCTCTGCCTCAGTGACGAGCGACTTGCCCACCATGTAAAGCTCTCTGCAACCCATAACTTGGTCATATCACTACAACATAAACGAAAACGAAGATAGTATTATAGGTGTCAGAAAGTCTATAACTAACACCTATTTTTGGCTCGAGCACATGCCCATGGGCCGTTTAGAAGATCTAATACCTATGTGACGATATAGGTACCGTTTATTAATAAAATTTGGCACCTATAATATTATCACTTTATCTGTACTAGTTTGTTTTAAATAAACAAGCATCCTAGACCGTTAAGCTGAGCCAATAGACCGAGTCTCTCCGTCCTTATCCTCTCCCTATCTTCTCCTCCCCTTGTGCGCGTGCTCTCTCTCCCGACTCGACCCTAAACTCATGAGTGGAGGCGGCAGCATGCGCGTCCCACGTGCGCATGCTCCCGTGACTCCTGACGCTCCCCCCCCCCACCCCACGCGCACTTACCCTCCGTGCAGGCCACTGGCACCGTGGCGCGGTGTTCGCCGGAGGCGGTGAGGGGTAGGGAGGAGGTAGAGAAGGGGAAGGGGATGGGGAAGGGGAAGCGGATATTGCCACTGGTACGGGTCTGCTGCGGGGGCCATCAATAAGATCCGGGTACCTTGCCATGTACAGCATGTACAACATGTAGGGCACCCCCTTCCCCTACGTTGGGGTGACGTGAGGGCGCTGTCTCGAGCTCAATGACCGCTAGATCTGGGTACCTTGCCATGCTCCCCTTCCCTTTCCATGTCACGTCACCTATCCGTTTGATGACGAGAGGTTCTGTTTTTGGTTGAATTTGTGATTTAGCATGTGCAACAGTTTATTTTTCTTTTTAAAAAAATGTGATTAAGCTTGTACAGAAAGTTTAGCATGTACAGAAGTTTGTTTTTTTTTTCGATTTGTAATCTGGGGCAACGGGGAGTGACTCAAAGCATCGGATTCGACCGAATCGAGCCTCTTCTCTTTTTTTTTTTTGCGTCGTGTGTGCCTCAATTTTTTTTTTTTTTTTTGCATCGTGTGCACCTCAAAGGTTATAGTTGCACCAATGACCTAGGATCATCAGTGCCTTCTCCGTGCTGCCGGCTGGAAAATCCGGTCCCTAGCTAATGTGGAATTTCCAATTGACACCCGTCAAACTTTCTGTCGTAGAATATGCTGGCGAGGCACTCTGAAGCGGAATTAGAAGCTTGAATTCTAGAAGCATGCTAAAAAATTCAAAAGAACATCTATAGTTTCATAATTTCACAATAACTAACAGAATTATTGCAACACGATATTTTTACATAAATTCAAGATTCCATAGTCTTGGGATTCTGTAGTTTTAACAATTTTAGTTTAGAATTTGTTCCATGGATACAATGGCGGAGCCACATGGGCAGCTGCCCGGGCTTCAACGCACACAGCAGTAGATTAGGACTTGATTTATGTGATTATTTACCATCCAGCCACATACAACAGTAGGAAGTACTTAATTACCGTACTTAAGCAAACCAGCAAAGCAAATGCTTAAAAAATCACAATCACGTTCATAGTAAATGTTTTTTGAAGTAGTATGAAATTGTGTACATTTGTTATCTATTTTTAGCTTTGCGGAGTTTCAAGAAAATTCTTCGATCCACCACTGCGTGGATACTTGCAATAAAACCATAACCAACGTTTAGAGCAATCTAAAACTTATAAACTTATAGTGAGAAAAAAAAATACAACAAATTTAAAGTAGAATAATATTATTCTTAAAGAAGACACATAGATATACATCTCACATATTTAAGATATATAATAAAAAGTTTGAGAAACATATGCCTGCTTATGTGGACGGGCTTTTCTTCTCTTCCTAGTTTATCAAACTAGGGCGATGTCAAATATTATTCAGATGCCTGGCTTCTTTACACAGCTGTTGGATATAGATATATAGATAAGTAATTTTACAGTCTTTATAAAAATATCACGAGGTATCATTTTTTCTATTATAATTTTGTTATAATTTTGGTAGATAGACAGCTCGCACTGGGCCACTTATCTTATGGCTTCGTTCGGTGGACGGAGCGAGCTATTTATTTGCTCCTGGTTCATCGCCTCATCGGAGCCTGGACTGCGGGCGCACTACGCGACGGAGGCGGTACTGCAGCCACCTGCGGCCGGCCGTCCCAACCTGCATATGCCAATCGCCAAAGAAAACGCCGTTAGATCTTGGGGTTTGCATCGCCTTGGCAGTGTCGTCTAAAGCGGCACATGCATATATAGCAGGGAGTATACTACTCCCTTTTAAATATTTGACACCGTTAACTTTTTAGTATGTGTTTGATCATTTAGCTTATTCAAAAAATTTAAGTAATTATTTATTCTTTTCATATCATTTGATTCATTGTTAAATATACTTTCATGTACACATATAGTTTTACATATTTCACAAACTTTTTTAAATAAGACGAACGGTTAAACATGTGCTAAAAAGTTAACGGTGTCAAATATTTTGAAACGGAGGGAGTAAGTTCCATTCAGCACGTTGTATCCACGGGCGGCGAGCTCCCTGTGCTCCTGAGCCAGCGCGCACCAGTGGCAGAAGAGATGGGTGAGGCAGTCCGGCAGGGGCGATTCCGGCAAGCCATACTGCGCCCTGAGCTTTCCGCGGTACCACCCCGCGTACGCCCACCACACGCCGAAATAAGCGGCAATGAGGTAGATGAAGCAGATACAGCACCACTCTAATTGGTGAGGAGACCAAAAGGAAATTGACAAGAGAGAAAACATGCATATCGGTAAGCAAATGTAAAAAATCTTCACATACATATCTGTAACCGGATATAATAATAAGCGTGAAAATGCAAAATTTTGAAACTGAATACCGATAATTAATTAACCACCTGATCAGCGGATATTAATTCGATCTAAATTCAGTTTGATGGTTTCTTTAATTTTATATCTGAATCCAAACGCTCTTCTGTTTTATCGGTAACCGGTCCAAAGCAAAGCACTTTGGATGGGGCTATGGGAGAGGAGATGACCCCTACCTGTGAAGCCTTGATCGACGATTTCACCGATGCAGGAAATCGACAACCAAGGGAACCAAGCACTCAAACAAACTGCCAACAGGTCGAGAAATTAAGCCATGAAACGGAAAAAACATTGCATTGTACCACCAAACCAGAAAAATCCAGTCAGTCGTAGCTTTGCATACATGATTCGCAGCCGTCTCCGAAGCAGTCGCAGAGGCTAGTCTGCCAACCCTGATGGGCAGGTACCATTCTAGGCTTGATGACCACGTCCACATTCTCGACGTCGACCTGCGTGTTCATGGCGTTGCTGTGGATCTTACCTGCATCGTTGGAAATTGGAAACTAGCGGTAAATCAATTTTGCATCTGGAATTACCGAGTGCGTGTAATGGACGTACAATCGCGCGCCTTGACCACTTACCTGGGATGAAAAAGGTCCGAAAACATCCCAATTGTTTTCTTGGAAACGAAAACGGTAAATTCGAAAATAAAAACAGTATAATAATATCGGAAACCAAAAACAGAACAATATGAACGAAAATGCATTGGTATCGACAAAAATCAATAACAAATATCTAAAATCACACATTTTATTTCGCATAACCATATAATATAAGAAAATTAATTCAAGGATACACTATGCAAATTACAAATTGTCTCCCTTTTAACTTTGCACTCATATATTTGGTTGAGGAGTTGATGGGCTTCTAAATTATGGGTCAAATAAAGAAATAGATAATAAATATTGGTGTATTTAGAAATACGGTAATCTATCTATCTATCTATTATATTATTAAAATAGCTTTGAAAGGAGGCACCACGTTCGCTGTGGGGGTTAGAAATTCCCACATTAATCGGAGAAAAAAAAAAGAAAAGGAGAGTCCAGGTAGAAATACAATCTAAAAATAACTGAATTTCGGAATTAAAAATAAGCAATATTGAAAGAAGTTTCCATATAAAAACTCAATACGAGATTAATCAAAATTATAAATAAAAGTAAAATAAAATCACAAATTAGAAAAGGAAAGGAGAGTCTAAGTAGAAATACAATTTAAAAATAGCTGAAATTCGGAATTAAAAATAAGCAATATTGGAAGAAGTTTCCATATAAGAACCCAATACGAGATTAATCAAAATTTGAAATAAAAATAAAATAAAATCCAAATTAGAAAAGGAAACGAGAGTCCAAGTAGGAATACAATTTAAAAATAGCTGAAATTCGGAATTAAAAATAAGGAATATTAAAAGAAGAGTCCATCTAATAACCCAATACGAGATTAATTAAAATTCGGAATAAAAATAAAAATAAATATGAAATTAGCAAAAGAAAATAAAGAAGAGTTCAAGTAGTTAGCTGAAATTCGTAATTAAAAAGAAGCAATATTGAAAGAAAAATCCATATAAGAACCCAATACAAGATTAATTAAAATTTCGAATAAAAATATAATAATATCCAAAATTAGAAAATTTAAAACAGAGTTCAAGTAGGAATACAATTTTGAAACAAATAAAATTCAAAATAAAAAATAAAAACATTAAAAGAACACAATACAATATTAACTAATTTTTTAGAAAAAATAAATTCTGAAATTAGAAAAAAAAGATTTATATTAGGAATAAAATTTATAAATAACTAAAATTTGTGATAAAAATAAAGACTATTGAAAGAAAAGACCATCTAAAACACATGACGAAATAAATTAAGTAACATGGCTATAAAGTAGTAGAGTTGGTGGTGGTTAATACGGCATATAAAAATTATTAATAAAACACCAAATAGAATCCTAATGACGATTAAAAGGAGGGACATCAGGTATGCCGTGAAGTAAACAAGTAAAGCGGTTGCCGGGACTTCTAGAAAGTATAAAGAAAGAAAACCACATTGATAATCATTTTCGATTTTTAAAATCTCAATGACAATAAAAAGGAGAAGCAACGAGCGGGGTGTATAAGAGTATAGTTGCAGAGCCTCCGACGGTTGACGGGACTTCTAGAAAATAAAAAATGAATTGTAATGATAGTTATGTTCGATTTTTAGAATCACAATGACAATAAAGAGTAGGCGGCGGACGGGCTGCAGAGGGGCATAGTGGCATCGTTTGATGAGACTTCTAAAAATTATAAAAAATAAAACTACAAGTCCAATTTTTAAAGATTTAGAAATTCTAAAAAGTAAAAAAAACCAATGATAATCATGTTCTATTTTAAATCTCAATGACAATAAAGAAGGCAATAAAGAAGGGAGGCAGCGAGCGAGCCGTAGAGGAGTACAATGGCAAAACCGCTGATGGTTTGGCGGGACTTTTGGAAAGTAAAAATAAACCCAAACTATAATTATGTTACCCGGAAATTTAAGCTATTTTAAAAATTAAAAATTAAGTGGCATATATCACTAATTAATTAGTTAACTAGCAAAATTGTTGGAAATAAGAATAAGCCACTCAAAATTTATGAAATTCACATTCGTCGAAGTTAAACAAACAAACAATGTCCAATATACAACCACAATATAATAGTGATAATTGGAAATATAGTACAAACAAACGCCACTGTAAACAGTCAGCATATACATACACTTACACTAATAATACAATACATCATATATTTGAATATACGGTTGCACAGGACATGCATAGCTTGACCCTTTTATGCACAAAAGGTAATATGTAAATAAATATTGCCGTCAGACCCATACACGAAGTGGTGTATATTCAACCATTCACCGAGATACCTAGATCGGCTAATACCGTCTGGCACCCCTCCCTTAAGTTGGGTTCGTCATCCGGCTCCGGCTAATTAACACTAAGAAGTCACACATCTCATATAAAGAAGTAACCTCACCAAAGGGACCTCAATTCACCAGCAGTACTAATTTTCCACCAATCACATAGCTGCACATAGGAGGACTCACACAAGGCCACAAAGGTAGTAGCACAACCTCATCACCTCTCAGTCAAGCAGTCAAAGCATGGCTACAGCCATGCCCATTTGCTCACTGATGCATGCATATGAGCCCCAAGCACTTGGTGAGGAGTGAGCAGATCAGGGGAGGAGGAGAGCAATAGGGAGCGAGGAGGGAATAGCCAAAGTCCCAAAATCCACAAATCAGCGGAATGCAAGATTCTGCCCAATCCATTTCAAGAACCAATCCCTCAATCCCAATAGTTAGTAGCCAAATTAGTTCTCAGCCAAATACTCATACCATCTCTATGTCGGCTAGGAAGGGGAGAAGAAAAATTGGCTAGACAAGGAGATGATCTATCAAGGAGGAGAAGAGACCAACACATTGGCGAGGACGAACACGGGAGCACAACCATGGAGGAACTTGTCCCTTAGACAAAGGTGAGCCCCTCAAATCTTGCCATTCTTGCCACCTCATAGAGCAGCCATGGCACGAGGCACTATTTTCCTGCACTTTCACATCACTATTAGTGGCATCACATCCATTTGGTAGCATGAGAGAGAGAGAGGGACACACACAGAGAGAGAAAGCAGACGCTGTTGGTAGGGCTTGGACCATGGGAGGAAGAGGAGAAATCGGGAGGGGGAGAAAAGGGGATTTGCAGTGAGCTAGCTTGGGGTGTGTAGTGGTGGTGGCTGGCGTCGACCTCCGTGGGCGCCGGGGTGGCAGCGCCATGGGTGGTGCTGTAGATGGAAGGGAGGAGCAGAGTTGGGGAAGAAGAAAGCCATTAGCAGCAGCAACAGCCAAGAAAATGGAAGAAGGGGATGAGTAACTAGATGCAGCTTGTTGTATGTGCGAGAGAGAGAGAGAGAGAGAGAGAGAGACATAAGTGAGGAGAGCAGGAATAAGGGTTAAATTGCTTAGTGCACACTAGTTGTCTACACTAACATTAAGCTTAGCAAAACTCTGTCAATAAATCTGTAAATCAAGTCTAGTTTAAATCAAGTAACTAATATATATACTCAATACAAATTAATGGAATGCTAGAAATTGTACATCAGGCTAGAATTTTAGGTGCACTGTAATATAGATAGATAAGCCAATTATATTCTTCAAGTTTGAAAGTTAATTGAAAATCAATGTATACAATAAAATGCAGGGAAAAGGCTAGAGTCAGAAATTGGGTCATTTGATAGTACCGGCTACAGAAACTCAGGCAAGTCTCTCTTTTGATCATGTTGGTAGATGATAATTCTATTTCAACTTAAAAATCTATTTCATAAAAATATTTCTCCTAGTATTGCATCAAAAAGTATTTTCTAGAATATAATGAAATGAACGATGATGATATGATTGACAAGCCGATGATGATGGAGATCATCAGGATACTAGTATGGTGGGTAGGGGGAGCTCAGGGATGAGATGATTGATGATGATGGCAGGTCAGGGCTCTCCCTACATACGGTGTATAAATATAAGGACTAATCACCCCCTCACTCGTATCAAAGAACCGTATATACCGTGTCGACCATAGATTCGTCTTAAGACGGGCTGGACCTGGTACCTTATCAAGTTTATTATACTCCACATGGGTACGTAGTAGTAGGATGGGAGATGATATAAACCCCATGAATGCCGATGAAGTGCATTCCAGGCGCATATAGTAGCGCGGTGGTGTGGAGGGCTGATAGGCTCAACACAAACGTGGAGTGTAGTAAGTTGAAGTAGGGGAAAAGTTCTGTACTCTTAGCATGGTGCCGCATCTAGTGAAGTGCGACAGTCAAACATGTTAAGAGTAGCTATGGGTACAGTGATACAAGCCTGCGCAGTGCTAAATTAAATCGTGATTCACGACTATCTCCTGGATGGGAGTCTACGGGGAGTTGCTACAAACTCTATTCAATGTTATGAGTGTACTCTAGATGGAGTAGAGATGACCTTAATGCTCCTAGGGATGAATTAAAGGTAGTTCTAACTATTTCTCTGTTGCGATCTCTGATGGTGGATTATTATTTGGCAAAATAATGGTTGTTAAATAATAATCTATGTTCTCACACTTTTATCACTAAAGATAAAAGTGTGGGGCGTCACAGTTCGATTTTTAAAATCTCAATGACAATAAAAGAGAAGAGATAGTGGACAGGCTGTATAGGAGTATAATGGCAACGTTTGACGGGACATCTAGAAATTATAAAAACGAAACCCAACGTGACAATAAACTCTAAAAACTATAAAATCTAATTTTTAAATGTTCCAAGATGAATGAATAGAAATAGTGATAGATCGAGCAAGCAAATAAAGAAGATGACATAAGGGGTAGCAATTGGTGTGATTTTTAAAACTATATAATTAGAAACACGAGGATGATAAGGTTTGGTCTTTCAAAGTCTTAACAATGAGATAGCTATTTAATAAATTTTAAGTAAAATCATACTTAAAAAAATGATTTTTTTGGCTAGCCGCGCAATTGCGTGGACCACCCAGCTAGTTATCATAATATAAAACAGTAATTTAGAAGCCCGAACCATCTGAGCACAAAAGCCCTCCTGACTCTCTTTTTTTCTCTCCCTAGCGTCCCCTCTGGCCCTCTCCATACCTAGCTCACCCTGGAGCCCTAACTCTAATATATGTTGGAATCCGTTTCACGTATTAGCCCTTACGGGAATTGAATTACCGATGATTCTCATTCTTGACAAAATGTTCACATGGAGAAGCAAGCTCTGAAATACTACTGCCTTCATCCCATTTTAATCATCCCCTAATATTTTTAAGGCCTTTTCAAAATAATCATCATCTTCGTTTATTTGTGCAAATTAAGAGTACTAAATGTGTATCATTGGAATGTGTTACTTGCAACCAAACAAGATTAATTTATATTATATTTAAACCATTAGCAATCCATAAGACACGAAGCGATGGAACACTTAATCCATGAGAGGATTAATTTTAAGAATGATGAATATTTTGCTGTTATTGTTCTTAGCGCCTTT